TGCCCACACGTGTGCACATGCGTTGTGCATGTGTGTACATGTGTGTGCATGTGTATGAGTATGTGTGTGCCCACACGTGTGCACATGCGTTGTGCGTGTGTGTGTGTGTGTGTGTGTGTGTGTAGCTGTTTCACAGCATCAACAGCTGAGCTTTCAGAAGATCACCAGGTTTGCTCCTGAACTGCCCCAGGGTGGGCACGAGTCTCTCACGTCCCTGCACACAGCCACGGGGTTGGCGACACCGATTTCCACACCATCTGTGAGACAAAAGGCGCCCTGGCTGCCCAGTGGTTACGAGTTGGGCTTAAGTGGAGAGCACATGTTTTGAGAATGAAGAGGGCAATGAATGTACAAATGTACTTGACTCAATTGATGTATGTATGGATTGTGATGAGAGTTGTATGAGCCCCTAATAAAACTCTTAAAAATAATAAAAAGTAAAATTAAAAAAGAAAAGAAAAGAGAGGACACCCGGAGACAGAGGAGCACACGTCAGCTTTGCCTTATTTCATGCTAGACTCTCGATTCCAGGCACGGGTCCTGCCCATGCTCACGCTCGCTCGGGGACATGACGGCAGCACGGATGATTGGGGCTCGCCCTAGAATCTGTTCATCATCAGCTCTGAGTTGGTGGCACCAGGCTGGTCCCAAAGACTACGCTGTCTCTTTCCACCCAATGCCAAGAGCAGGGGTGGAAAGGATAGGGACCCCCCCCTCCCCCAGGGTTACTCTTGAGTTGACCTCAAACTCCTTGAAGGTCGACCAGTGTCCATCTTGCTCATGGACCTCATGGCCATCTTGTCCGTGAGTCTCTCTCTGCATAGACTCACTCCCGGAAGTTTTTAATGGCCCTACCGAGGAGGAGCCCACGTGGTAAGGGACGGTGGGCCGTCTCTGAGCAATAGCAACAGGAAACGAGTCGAGTCGCGCAGACCAGTCAGCTGCCAGGAGCGACCGGATCCTGCCACACAGTGGGAGCTGCAAAGCGGATTTTCCCGCAGGTAAGCTTCAGGTGAGTCCCCAGCCCCGGCCGACCCTTCCTCACAGCTTTGTGAGGCTTCCTGAAACCAAAGCTCCCAGACTCAATGGAGCCTGGATTCCTGGCCCCTGGACACTGCACGGTTCTCAGTGGGCACTGTTTTAAGTCCCTGAGGCCATCCTGCTTGGTAAAGTGGAGGGGCCCTGAAAAAGAGGAAGACCCTGGGCAGGATGGACTGACACAGTGGCTGCGTAAGAACAATTGTGAGGATGGCGCAGGGCCGGGCAGGGTTGACAGCACATAACAGCCACAAGTTTGTCATCCCGCCACTAAAAACCAATACAGGGTAGCAACCTCCTGGACAATTCCACTGAGACCCACCTGAGTGCCTAGGCTCTACCCCACTAGGGGGTCATTTCAGTGTGCCCAGGTCACTTGAGAACCCCCAGGAGCAGGACGTTGTCGCGTGGGTCCAATGATGTGCAAGTGTCTGTGCTTTGCTGAACATGTCATTCCCGTGGGCAGGGCTCAGCACAGGTTCAGACACAAGGCGGGCCCACATCCTGGGTCTTGGCACCTCTGTGACTGTGTACACTCACCTGGCTCCTGGGCAGGGGTGAGGGTGGAAAGGGGGCACTCCCAGAGGCTGCCGAGAAGTCGTCCAACCAGTCCCCTTGCCAGGCTATCTGGGGAGAGGAGGGGAGTTTCTGACCCCACGACTGTGGGCCCTCACCAAGGTCTGACTTCTGGCTGCCAGCGGGGACGCCTGTAATCTCGCTGCGCAGTTTCAGCCTGGGGGGCGAGATTAGACAACAGTGTTTACCTTGCCATTAGCCCTGCCGGGCACTCGGTGTGGGGTGCCTTGTTTTGAGGGGCACCAGGAACAGCTTCTGTGATGCAGGGCACCCCCTGCCAAGGGCGGTGGGGTGTTCAGAAGTGTTCCATCGGCCGATCCAATCAGGCCACAGAGTGAAATCTTAAGAGCCCTGGAGCGGCAAGCCTGTGCCAGAACATTTACAGTGATAAGTGTTATCACCTGGGTCTGATAGACCCTCAGACGGCTGGTCCCCTGTGTCACCCTGGAACACAGTCTTCCAGTAGCAGAGGGAACATGTTCTCCGCCCGCAGCACAGCCTGGGGCGTCTTGCTGGGGATGTGCACAGTTATGCTTTCTAACCTGTTTATAATAACATTTTTTTTTTATCCAAGTATACCAGCAGTCCACCACCCGCTGTCCTGTGTGTCATCCTGGGGGCATTGCATGTGGCTATGATGCTGGAAGCTCGGCCACAGGTGTCACCCCTGGTGGACAGGTTTCAGTCGAGCTTGGAGGAAAGGCCTGATGGGCTCCTGAAATGAGCCAATGGAAACCCCACGTGGAGCAACAGCAGAAGGAGGAGAGTCAGGGCGAGGCAGGGGGAGTGGGGTATGTGGATGGTGCCCGGCATGGTCACTGCTGACCAATTCATTCAAGGACATCAAAAGGGGGGGGAATGCAGAATAGAACTTCAATTTCCATAGACTCTAGACTTTCTGGAGCCGTGGGGGCTGGAGGAACTGCTCTTGCCTAGAGATCGTCTTTAAACAGTCAGCCTGAAACGGAAAACGTTTCCTGACGTCGTCTTCTTTTTCTTAAGCTCCCTCATATATATATATCAACCTGCCTTCACCCAAGCTAACATACGTCTGCCCTCTAGTCAGTATTTATCACCAGTGGTTATGCGTTGGGCCTCAACCTACAAGATCAGCAGTTCGAAACCACCAGCCGCTCCGAGGGAGAAAGAGGAGGCTTTCTCCTCCCGTACAGAGTGACAGCCTCAGACACCCACAGGGGCAGTGCTACGCTGTCCTGTAGGGTTGCTGTGAGTTGGTTTCTCCTCCCTCCACTGGTAACCAGGGGAGATGGTTTCTGCCCGTGTGGAAGCCCTTTCTTGGCTTGTTCCTTGCAGTGCGGTATGATGTGGTCTTGTGATTGACCTATGTCATCCAGTATGGTGCGCAGGTCCACCTCCTGGGTGCAGATCGGTCCAGTCAGCTGTGTTCTTGAGCGTCTGGTAGTAGTTGTGTGCAGGCACTGTAGTTGGTGTGTGCGCGCTTCCACGTCGCTGCTGCTGGCAGCCGGGCGGGCGATGGTCACGTGAGTGCATATATCATCCGTGTCTCTGTCGTCCTCTGTCGAGGACATATTCCAAACAGAGAGGTGGCTGGACCGTATCGTATTGCTATTTCCAGCTGGTTACGGCAGCGCCACAGTGTTTTCCCTGTGGCTGCTCCGTTGACAGTCTCTCAACACCCTTACCAGCATTTGTTGTTTTTGTTTGTTTTGTGTGTGTGTGTGTGTGTGTGTGTGTGTGTTGCTTGTGGGGTTGTCCTAATTAATATTCTCTATTTGACTTTGTTACTTGACCTCTTGCATTCTAATATCCCTTGTGATGGTGAGTTAGTTACTTCATTGTGTCAACCTGGCCGATAAACACATGTGGGATTAATTGAAGGGCTGAGGAATAAATGGCTCAGTGAGCCTCGCCTTTCTAGTTCTCGGGTCTCTTGCTGCCTTAGCAGTTCCCTGCTTCAGCTTGCAAGGCTGACTTCCTGCAAGACATCCCCAAGGAGAAGCCACATGGAGCCCTGGGTGCTGGAGCACCTGTG